ATGGTTCTCTAAGACAGTTCTGTGTTCTCCAAAGTACCTCCTTCTCAATACATTCTACTATTTGTCCACAGTCTCTTTGTATTCCTTTGAAACATCTTGCATTCCTTTCTTCCCATAAGTGGTATATCAAGCCAGCCATTGAGGCACAAAAGATTCTTCTTTTTCAGTTTGGTCCTACACCATGTTCTGAGTATGCATCTTCTCCAACCTCTTTGAGTACAAGGGACAGTAGTTCCCAGCCATTGGTTCACTAGGCTCAAAACTTCTTTGGAAAACCTGCACTCAAAAAACAAGTGTTTTGCATGTTCTTGCTGTTCCTGGCATAAATCACAGATAGGGTCAACTGGCATCAACATTTTGTTGATCCTATCCTTGGTTAGCAACCTATTTTCCAACAGAGCCATGATATGAAACCATGTATAGGTACATTATACCTAGACCATAAGAATTTAGTTGCTTCACATCTTTGAGTGTCTCCCATTAGCCATCTGTAGCCAACATTGATAGTGTACTTTCCATTACCAGAGTACTTCCATCTTCCATTCTCTACTGCTCCTTCCATCTTCTCCTTCAGCTTTACAAGTTGTTTCCAGTGCCAACTGGAATCTTGTTTCTGCAGCAGGTCCCAAAATCTTCTCCCTTTATGTACATCTCATGCATCCACTTCACCCATAGGTGATCAGTTTTTCCTACTAGGTTCCAGACTTTTTTAAACAATGCTGCTTTATTCCATTTCTGTGCATCTCTTATGCTCAGCCCTCCCTCCTTATTTGGTCTACAAACCACATCCCAATGACCAGTGGCAAGCTTCTACCAGCCTCTTTTATCCCCCACAAGAACTCCATGCACACTCTGTTTACCTGCTAGGTGATACTTTTTGGAGCCTGTGGCCAATAATTGTTCATTGCCATCAGTACACTGTTGATCAGTTGAACTCGTCCAGCATAGCTGAGATGTCTTGTGCTCTAGCATCTAATTCTGCTAACCATTTTCTGCACAAGGATGTCACATTCTGTCTGGTTCCATTTCCTAGGTGACAAGGAAAAACCTAGTACTTCATCGGGAATTTACCTTCACCAAAACCAGAAATGCTGATGATGGTCTGCTTCATTTCTTCTACAACGCATCCCAAGAACACTTCTGATTTACTTGGATTAGGTCTAAGTCCAGTGGTCTCTGCAAACTCCTCCAACACCTGCATGATCTTCTTCACTGTATACCTGTCAGCTTCCCAAAAAATCATCAAATCATCTGCAAAACAGATATTTGTGATTTTTAAGATGTGACAATGAGGGTGGAACTTAAATTGGGGATCAGCAGCAGCTTCCTTCAACATACGAGTCAAATACTCCATGGCCATGACAAACAGCAGTGGAGACATCGGGTCTCCCTGCCTGAGTCCCCTCTTCCCCTCAAAGAATCCACAATTCTCGCCATTCAATTCTATCATATATGTTGTGGACCGTACACATTCCATGATAAGATTAATAAATGACTCAGGCACATTGTATCCCTCTATATAGCATTTCAGCTATGAAATCCCATTCTAGCGAATCATATGCATTCTTAATATCTATTTTAAACAAGCATCTCCCACTCACATTTTACGCCCATACAATCTAAAAAGTTCTTGAGTAAAGAGAACGTTGTGTAATATAAGCCTACTACTAACAAATGCACTTTGATTTGCATCTATTAATTTAGGCAATACAACTTTCAATCTTTCACAAGGCAATTTAGAGGTTACCTTATACACCACGTTGCAACATGCTATCGGCCTGTACTCCCTGGCATTCTGTGGAGCTTCCTTCTTTGGGATTAAAGGCAGAGAGGTAGGGTTGCAGTGAGAGACAAATTGATTTGAAGGCGGATTTGGAAACTCAAAGTGAAGGGTAAGATGCAACACTTTCTTTGGAGCTGCTGTAATAACTCTTTAGCATTGGGAAATAACTTCCTCAAAAGAGGAATTGTTGTTGATTCAATGTGCAGATTGTGGGACTGATCTAAAATCTAAAGAGCATCTTTTTCTCCTGTGTCCCATAGCGAGGTGTATTTGGGACCTCTCCCCAGTATCATGGGATGGACTGAACAATTATATGTTTTCGTTCAAGGAATGGTGCTTCCATTTGCTGAATATTGGTAAAAATTGTGAAAGTCAGCGCCACTTATATTTTTCTATTTTTCTTTGTTATGGAATATTTGGAAACGCAGAAATATGTGGGTTTTTAATGGGCAAAAGATCCATGACTTGGAGGTAGTGAATCATGCTATGGAAGAGTGGTTAGAGTATGAGGAGGAGAGTAAGTCCCTATTCCGAAGACCTAATGTACATATACAAGCCCAACAACAAATACATTGGTTAGACCAGAGGAACGAGTAAATAAGGTAAATGTTAGTGTTTTGTTTCAGCAACAGGGAGGTGTAACTAGGGTTGGTTTTGTGGCTAAGGATAGCAAAGGCACTCTTTTGCAAGCTTGGCCAGTTGTTAGAGATCGTCTTCAGAATTCAGTGGCGAACTTAGATGCAATTCAGCTTCGATTTTTGAACAGATGAACTTGTGGAATGTGGAAATAGAGAGATGTTGAGACTTTGGTAGATTGTCTGAATGCTAAGAGGTGTCATATACCCGAAGCATTAATCAAAGTTGAAGACATCTTTCTCTTTGAATCATGTGTCTTATCTTGTAAATATTCTTTTGGCCATCAGCGTTGTAATAGAACTTTCCCTACTTTAGGTGCGTTCATTTTGGAGGGGAATACCTCCTGGAGCTCGAATGAAAGCTTCCGTCAATGGCTACTTGAAGTAGCTTGTACAGACGTGGAATCATTTGGTCCTAACTTGGTAATATAATATGATTACTGATTTTTGAAAAAAAAAAAAACAGAATAATACTCCCTACATGTCAAGTAGAGTATCTCTTATTATTTCTAGAAAAGAAAAAAAAACAGATTGCGACAAAGTGAGGTGGATGAATAATACTTTATCTCACCAGGCTCATGAAGTGAGGAAGAAAAAAAAAGATTGCGACAAAGTGAGGTGGACGAATAGTACTCCATATCTCATCAGACTCATGAAGTGAGGATTGCTCGCAGGTTCAATTTCCGTCCTCACCTAATTATCTATATTGGTCAATTGTTGTATTAAAAAAAAATATGAACCTTAAAATACACCCGTCTCTTGGATAGCTTGATTTTTTTTTTCTTCTCGGGAAAGCCGAATCTCGGCATTAGCAGCGCGTAACGGATCCGATGCTGCAAGGAAGATCAAACTTTGTAGTCATTACCATAGTCGATCTAATTTTCTAAATAAATTTTTTCCCCTCATAATTACAAGAATAACATAATTACAAGAGTAACATTACTCCTTTTGTATGCGTTATAATTTTGACTTCTTCTTTTTTTTTTCAATTTAGCTATTCTTTGTAATTATGTAAAGAAATACAGTAAAAATCCCCTAAATTAATACTCCATAAATTAATAAACTTTATTCTAAATAATAAATTCTTTTGGTCCCAAGTCGAAACCAGTACAAAATTCACACAAAATCGATAAATTAATAAGAGAATAATATTTTAGAAAATTTCCATATCAAATATATGTCCCCTAAGAATCTTAAATTAATAACGAGAAAAAACTGAGGTGCTTGGTTCAGCCTGCATATGATAGTTTCTAATGGGTTTCATAAACTCTGAAAGTGAGATTCATAGAATAAGATTTGGAATTGGTACCAAAGCTCCAATTTAGGTGCTTGGTTAGTTCTATATAAAAATTGAAATTCACTTGAAGTACCAATTTTGTCCTTGTTTCTACTAAAGTCTAAACCCAGCACCACCACCGACCACCGTTGCCTCTGTTTATCCCCCACCTTCTCACGGCTGGAGAAACAACCAACTTAAATCTAAATATCAACCCATAATTTAGAAGCCAAATTGTTAAAAGAGAAAAAGAAAACAAAATGAGATTAAAAAAAATACAGATCAAACATCAACAAATCTGCACCCCAAATTCAATTTTATTTGGACATAATTCAATTACAAACATCGAATCTGAAAAACAAAAACCAATCTTAATAATTAATGCATAAAACCCATGAGTTTAACTAAATCGGTGAACCTCAACATAGCCGCTGCTTAGGCGTCTCTTTTCTACCCTCGTTGACATATGTCGTTTTATTTTATCAAGCAAATATTAGTCACATAAAACCCCGATCCAAGAATAGATTTCAGATTGGAGAGGGACGTTGTGATGAGAAGTTGAGAGGATAAAGATTTTATTTTTTTCATTGGATTTCAAATTGGAGAAACGGCGGTGATGAAAACTTGCAAGACTGGAATTCAGATGAGAGAGGGGTGAGGAGAATTAGAAATGGAGGCGGAAGGCAGAGGATGGAAAGAGGAACATAATAGAAAAGTAAGCCACAATTTTCTCAAGACTATTACATCCACCTAATTGATGGGGAATGAAATTGTTGGATTGAATCCAAGTTTTGTGGGCCAAGCTCATTCCCATTTTACCAACCAGGCAAGAAAATTCAAGAAAAATGGATTGAAAGTCAGAAAATGGTTATGACACCCCTGAACCAAGCACCTCCTAAGAATGTTTAAGGAGGTAGGAGGATTTTGAGTTTTTTTTTTCTTCTTGAAATTTATATTTCAGAAAATTTCAGTTATAATTTTATCTCCAATCCATTAATAAAAATAATAGGATCATAATTACATACGAGAAGTTGGGTTGAAGTTGAGTATTTTGTTTCTTAATAGAATTTTAAAAAAAACTTCAATCAATAAAATATTAATAATCGGTAAAATAATAATTATTAATTTATCAACAAATAATAATCTCTATAAATTAATAAATTTTCAGCACTATTAAACTTTATTATAGAGTTTTTACTAGAAACAAAAATAAAATTTTAAAAAAAAACTAATATAATAATGTAACAAATGAAATGTGGGCTCCAGAAAAAGCTACGAATTTGAACATTCAACTGCGTCGGCTTATATTTTTATTACATACCAAAACCAACCACATTAGACTATTAACAGAATCATCAATTGTCAGCGCAAGCCGATTGAAGGAGATGATGGATCCTCTTCTATGGCACAGAGTTGCTGCTGTTTCTGGTACAATCTCTCCTATCCCTTTCAGAATTTTGGATTTTGTTGTTTCTTAAACCGGAATTCTTACTGGGTTTTTGGCTCCTCTTACAGGTATGGCTGCTCTTGCTTTGGGAACTTACGGTGCTCATGTGTTCAAGCCCCAAAATCCTGCTTATAAAGAGGTTCTATTCTTTCTTCACTTCATCTCAAAGTTACTTCTGGGTTCCAATTTTTGCGTGGGAATAAGAGTTGCCTGTGACGAAAAATTAAGTGTTGACAAAGTTGAAGAAGTGTTGAAATGTGTGTGATTGCTCTGTGGAGCTATGTTTCTGATATCGTAGATTACGATGGAAATGTAGTTTTATTGCTTCCACTCCAGTATTTTAAAGCAATACTCAGCAGGGCTTTATTTGGCTTTTACTTGAGATGGCATTTGACTTGTGAATTTGATGTTTTGGTTTGCACCATTCTGGTGTCCTGAGCCTGCTACTTTCATTGTTGATTTTAGATTTGGTAAATAAGTTACAGTATCTTGTTGGGAACCGATATTTTGGTCATTCTTTTGTGTTTCTTTACACCCCCGATTTGGTGATATTTATGGTTCCTACATGGTACTAGTTCGTTTGCCTTATTTTTTTACCCTTTAATTAATCTGAGCTCTAGTTTTGCAAGCTTTGCTCTCTTTGATGATTATACTAGTATGATTATTTGAGTATTGATTTTGGCATGTTACAATAATCCAGTCTTGATGACCTTTCATGGAGTTTTGTTTCTTCATTTGTGTGTGTATTTCCTTTCTTGTAATCATGTTGTTTCAATTCGTGGTTGAAGGTTTGGCACACAGCGTCAACTTATCATTTGGTACACACTGCAGCTCTGCTTGCTGCTCCAATAACAAAGCACCCTAACATTGTGAGTTGAGCCTATTGAATCTTCGTTGATGCTCTTTCCCTCTGACATCCCTATACATGTTTAGGTGATATTCTTGTTTCTTCCTCTTTTGCAGTTCGGGGGACTTTTGACAACTGGCATTCTTGCTTTCTCGGGAACGTAAGTGCAATTTACTTCAATTTTGTTCTTGTTAATATCCTTATGTTGTACTCATTATACCTATAGAGATGATGGATTGCTTGTTTTTTCTTCTTTGATTGCCTAGCAAACTGGGTAATATTTCATTGTATAGTGTGATGCCTTTGGTAGGTGAACAAATCCTTCATTTTATCGAGTACTAGATTAGGTAGATGGAGTTTCATAGCTCATTACAGTATGACTTTCTCATACCACCGAATTCTGATGATGATGATATATAATGTAATACTTGTTTGTTTCTGATGTGTTATTTTAAATAACTTTAGGGATTATTATAAAATGGTCGTTTAAACTTTCGTATCGTTTAAACTTTTGGATAGCAGTAAGTTTTAAGTAGTTGTGATTGTTCATCGAATGTACTGATATAACCTTTGCTGGAAGCTCGTGAAAATGATACTTACTAATAATACCACTCGTAAGGCCCCATAATATCACTCATAAGCCCCCTGTGGTGTAGTGTACTAAACCATGAGAGATAAAATTTATGTTAGTGGTCATGGTGGTGTTAGTGTAGATAATAAGTCATGGTGGTATTGTAGATAATAGGAGACAGAACACAAGGGGATAAAGAATGGGTAGAAGAGGAGGGCCAGAAGAATGTGAAGAATTTGGGAAATGAAATTGAAATTGAGATTGAGAATAGATAGGATAGATACAGGACTGGCTGAGATGAGGGTGGAAACGGATGTGTCAGCTGAATACTTTAGGAAGAAGAGATGAGATGTTATGTGAAGCTGTGAGTTAAAAGCTTCTCTGCGTATATTTCATGTTACTTCCCCAATTTGTAGGATTATCTGAATCTCCGTATGCCCAACCAGTGTTTTGTTCCCGCTGTTGTCTTTCTTGAATAACAAATTTTGGAAAATAAATGCTGATTGACATAATTCCTCTGATTGCTTGCAAGCAAAAGTGGTCTAAAATTTGCACTTTTAACCATTTAGTTCTGTGTTTTGAATGTTCTTTTCTTTCACATCACTGTTGCTTTTCTCAGCATCTTCCCTATTCCTTTCATCCATTGAGTCAGCCATCCATTCATTAAAAACCTTGTTTGATTTTGTTCTTTTCCAGTGCCAACTTCACATGTGCATATATGTTCTTTTTGGTCTATTCACGAAATCATTTCACTGATTGATAGACATTCTTTGTTGCTATGCCGCACTCTTTCTGCAATGCTGCTTACATTCCAAATCTTGGGGATCACTGACGTCCTGTCTGTCTCTTTCTTTCCTGCATCTTTTATCAACTAAACAAAAGGTGGGACCTGCCTATTGCTTTGGTACCCCACAAGTAATCACGAAAACACAATCTTGTCCTTTGTTTAATGATCCGGGGGATAGCAATATAATACTGATATAAGTCCAAAAGAATGGTGCTGTTTTTAAATATATGCCTTTAATTTCAATCATAGTGTCATTACTTATAGCGTCAAATTGGAATCGATACTTTCATGAGGCTTAAAGGTTAAAATGTAGGATCATAAATTGCAGAAAATATTATGACGAGTTTGATTTTTGTATCTTGCTATGAACAAAAAGATATGTGATATTGTTGGACAGAGGAAGTGCCACAGATGCACGTAATACTTTTCATCAAGTAAGTATGCATTTATAAATAAAAGCATTTCTGGGTTTGCAGGTGTTATGCTGTGGCCTTCTTTGAAGATAGAAAATATGCTAAAATAGCTCCGTTTGGTGGCTTTGCATTTAGTTACAAGGAGTGCTAAGGAACAGCTCTTCGATTGTGATTTTTTTTTTTCTTTAAAGAAAATACAAGCATATTTTCTCTCCGTCCCAAAATGATGGTCTAGTACTTTTTGGGTGGGGAGATCTCTGGGCCTTTGGACAGAGGGAGTATATGCTTTGTTTATTTTATTTTATTTTTATTTTTATTTTTTTTTTGTTGTAACGGACGGTATCTTGTTCTGCCCAAATGTACGTAATATACATTTTGTTGTCATTATCTTGAATGTCTTACTGCGTCTTTTGCTTGATGTAATCCTGGAATGATTGGTCGACACAAAGCCAAAAAAACATTAGAAGGAAACAGCAAAAAGATCGAATGTAACCAATTCCGAATAGTGAAAATAAATGATGGCTAAGTAAATCACGTCTCTAACGAAAACAGATTCTCAGAGAATGACGACATGGCGTGGAGAAATAAGGTGTAAAGTGTTGTTTTTACACGATTTGAAGACGAACTTTTTTGGTATTATTGAATTGATCTGTAGTTTTAGAGCAAACGCCAAATTAAAGAATGCACATTTTCCCTCCATACATTGACATGGTGTGTGATTCAATGTTTTATACAAAGCTATTTCCTAAATCTAATTCCCTAATATCTGTACATATTTTATACAGGGCAAAATGTACAACTGATCAGTAACTACAAATCTTCTTCACACAGGTAACTCTGGATGAAGTTGAGGCTCCATACAACTCGAAATCTTGCACACAATCTCCCTCATATCAGGCCTTGCTTCCGAATTAGGAAGCAAAGCCTGGTTAGCCACATCAAAAACCACCCTCAGCTGATCCTCATCAACACCACCGCTGAGGTTGGGATCCAAAAGTCCTACCAAAACGTCCGAATTCTCAGTCCTCCGGCACTCCTCAGTCCAGTCCGCCAGTGTGGTTGAGCCTTGCACGGACTTAAGCCCCGTGATCAGCTCAAGAAGCACTACACCAAAGCTGTAGACGTCGCATTTTGGCGACACGATCCCCGTGTCGAGGTAATTAGTATCTACATACCCAAGCGAACCCTTCACAGTCGTAGGCGTGTGCGCGCTTTGCGAGTCATTCCCGAGTTTGCATAACCCGAAATCGGCTAGTTTTGCACGATCATCGCTGACGAGTAAAATGTTGGAAGATTTTACGTCTCTGTGGATGACAGGAGGATCGGCTATAGAGTGGAGATAATCAAGAGCTCGTGCAATGTCCAGAGCAATGTTCAAACGGTTTAACCAGGAGAGAGCCCCTGAACATTTGCCTTCATAAGTGTGCATTCTATCGAAAAGGCTCTTGTTTGGAACATACTCTAACAGCAAAAGTTGTTCTCCTGTTCTAAACCAAACACATTATCAATGTACAAATACAAGGTTGTTGAAGAACTAAAATGTCTGGTCCTAAGAGAACTTGATACCAAATCTCATGTAAGGCTTAAAAGAACTAAAATGGAATAGTTTAAACTTACCTTTCTCCAAGCAAAAACCCATTAGTCCGACCAAATTTGGGTGTGAAATCCTAAGCAAAACAGAGACTTCATCAAGAACCATCTTTTGGCTTCCACCTTTCTCATCCAAGACGCGTTTCACAGCACCAAGTCTTCCATCTTCAAGCTCTGCAAGGTACACAATCGACGTCCCGCCGATCCCGATTTGTACCTTGAAGTTCTTTGTTGCCACCTTCAACTCTTCCAGGGCATAAGTCCTTATACTAGTACATGTTTTGTTTTTGCATTTTTCTTGATGATCATCATTTCCCCCTTCACTTTGATTTTGATCACTTGACTTAACATTGCTGGATTTTTCGGATTTGTTTGCTTCGAGATGAGCCCACCTCCTGAATAAAATTGCAAGGATTGTTGCTACAACTAATGCACCCACAATGAAGAAATGCTTTGGAGTTAATTTGGCTAAGGGTATCATTATTTTTTTTGTTTAAGTGGTTAATTTTTTATTTTTTTTTGGTGTTGATCATGAAGATGAATCTCTTTCTCGAAACAGAATTTTGTTTCTCATGGATGTAAGATTTGAGGGATGACACACATAAGGTTTAAAAGAAAAGGTAATTAATCATAAGTTGAAAATGAATGAAGATGAGCCTAAGGATCATTTGGGAGAGACTGGTGTTGAGTCACTATTATAAATCATGTGATATAAAGAATCGGAATATCCATCTAAATGTCATTTTGTTGCAGCTGGAAATTGTCCTCTCCAGAAGAATACTTGATTTGAATAAGGGGCTTGTAAAGTTGTCTTTAACATAAGGTTTATTCCCTCCGATTCTACTTAAAAAGTATAAGTTTGAAATAAATTTTATTTTAAATTATGAGTTATAAATGGGGCCGAAAAGAGTATTTTGATTAGGAATTATTTTCCAAGTTAGACAAAGTGGATACTTTTCTCTGATGTTAAATACTTAGTGGAAAGGACAAAAACAGTTCAGGGCTTTTATCTTAACAAGTCTTGTTTGTAAGTTTCTTCTAAGCATTTCCAAATGATTCCCCTGACTAGGCTTTGACCTAATCTTTAGCAAGTTCTTGCTGTATAACTACAAAACTGCAGTAAATTTGGTCAGCTTTGGACTTTCTTTTTATTAATGCATCCGAAGTAAAGCTTACATTCTGCTCTTTTAGTAATCAAATCTGTTTAATAAGTAGTCCCGTCCAAGAGAAGAGCCATGTTTTTATAGCAACGAGAGTGGTAAGTACTAACTGTAGTAGTATTGTTGAGCGGTACTATTCTCATGGAAAAAGAGCCGAAGTGATGAAAGTTAAGGCTTCAGGCCTAATAAACCCACAATTTTCTGGTGGCAGAGTATTTGGTATTTAGCAGAAAATTTGGGTTTTGGAATGAGCCCACTCAACACGCAAGCCCAATTAAAAAAAGTTGGACAAGAGTCAGATAATTATGCCAATATTTATCCAAGTGTATAAAATTCTACATTTTATTGCCTCAAAAAAAAAAAAAAAAAAAACTTGAATATCTCAACCTCTTTTAGCTCAAATTTTTAAAACTTTATTGGCTATGCACTTGATGGGTTAGTTACAGCAATTCTTGGTGGGTTTTGGAACGGAGAAGTGGAATAACTCCATTGGTGTTATAAATTGGAAGGAATGTCTTAGTTACAACAAGTTTTTACACTTCCCATTATAAAAAATCAAAAATTTATAGTTACTGATTATTACTATTATGGTGTGTTTGCTTGATGGATTTTAGAAATGGAGGAGTGGAATAATTCCAGCTTTTAATGTTTGGTTGACGGGTTTAAATGGGAAGGAATGGATTATACTCAATTATTTAGTAATCTTTCAAAACCTATCAGAGGTCGGGTTTTGATTTGATTCCTATTGCAACTCTTTTTTTTTTCAATTCTTTGTTTTTTTCATGGTATTATATTATATATAAATTTATTATTATATCATAATAATATTTTTTCCTCAATTATAAACTCAGGTTTTTTATTGAAATTTTTTAGCCAAATTTAAATTAATGAAAATCATTAAATAAAAATTTAAATTGATTAACATATGATTTGAATTGAGATTGAAATATAGAACTTGTGCACTGCATTAAATTATATTGAAATAAGAGCAATTGGGACTTTATCAAACTAATTTACTCTAAAAAAAATAATTCAAAGTATTCAAAGTGATTTAATGAAAAGATTTATTAAATTTTTAAAATTAGTAGTTAAATTTTTGTACCTCTAATTCAACCAATTAAATGCAAAAAATAAAATGATTCTAAACCAAATTATAAACTAAACAATTATTTTGGAATGAGTATACCCATAGTAACCTCTTGTTGTTATCATACCTAACCCCATAGTAAAACTCATGAACAAACCAAACGCTCGTTAAAACTCTTTTTTTTTTTTTTTGAGAAAATAATTTTTTTTAAAAAAAAAATCCACCCTAATGGATCCCATATAAATGTGGGTAAAACCCCCCTTATATATTTCTTGGTGAGAATTGAATCATAGCATTCTAAGCACTAGACTGTCATTCAATTTTGAGAAAGTAAAACTTAAGTCTTGATGAAATTAAAATAGTAATGACGTAATAGTACAATTCTTCCAAGATCAAAATTGACATGCTTTCTCATTCTGTAATTTTATTTAACTGTTTAATTTTATTAACAAAGTTTTGAAGTGCCAATCAACCCGATAAAGGGTTGTGTTAAGTTATTATCCAACATTAAAGAAAAATTTACTGCGTATTATATAGAAGACCTGAGATTTAATCCTTATTTTAGGCCTATTTTACCAATCCTACCATGAAACAACAAACGAAACCAGAGTCATAGAGAGTTGGATTCTTCCGAATGTCAGGATATGAAAATATACTTTCTTTCGAACTAATAATTCACATTTGAAAAGGGGGACGAATTTAACAAGTCGTCTATACATTAAATCTTTACTTTTAGCGCAACCGTTCTCCATAAAGCCCAAACTGGAAAAACTATTGCTGCTTAAGGGAAAGAGAAGTAGCTGCACTTTCTCATCTGAACAAGAATCAAAATTCTTTTCTATAGCTAAGAAAGAATCGTTCTTCGTATACTATGATACACATCCCCAGGTTCGCGTAGTCGGCAAGCTAGTCAGCTCTCTCATCTTTCAGTGGACATAAAAAGGTATACTGTGTCTACAGTTCTATGGATTTCCGCAAAGTGTCTAAGTAGTAAAACGTCTCAAAAGGGTGGATGGTCTTCTTCAGGGGTCTGAGGTGGTTTAGGTTTCCAATCATGTTTCTCGTCCCAGTAGATGTCATAGTATATATGGCCTGGAGTTTTATCTTGTACACAACACCATATACCTGTATATTTCTTCACTCGCCTCCTGAACTTCTCTTCCTTCGACTGATCACAGCAGAATTAAAAAGTTGAGCACCAATTAGAGATCGTGTTACAATACTACCAAGAAAATCATACAACGAAAATGAAACTGTTTCCATCATGCAACATTTTTGGGTCTGACAGTACGAATTTACATTGAGAATCATGAATAGGATCAAAGAATATGATGTTTGTCTAAAGGAGATGAATTCATAGCAATTTTAAAATATACATATAATCATTTGCAAAACATTGTTAGCCTGAATAATTTACCTTGTCTGCGAATCCTTTGAAGGCATCTTGCATAGATGAGAACTGGATAACCTTGATATCTTTGTATGCTGAGAATACAGTCGTATACTAATTGAAACAAAAAAAATGCAAAGAAATCCCGTGAGTAATCAGAGATGCAAGATATATACATTTGAAGCACACTCTCAATGAAGCTAATAGAGAAACAGAAACCCGATGCATGATCCAAAGTTCAAGTCATGAAAATCAGATAATATTGGGCAAGTTGGTGAAGATTTGCTTTAGTTGTCAGAGCAACTACATGCCATCATTTTATTTATACGTTTACTGACTTTAAAACGTAAAAAAAAAAAAAAAATGCTTGATGTACCAGCTTATACATCACTTAGTAACAGATTCAACAAAATACAACACTAAGCAGATCAAGTCCAGAAGCTTGGGCCAAGCTTTTGAACATCTTTGTCAGTGGTAGTTGATGTCGTGTCATAAAATCTTCAAATCAGTTGTTTTCAGCAGATATTAAAGTCAAAGGAACTATATGTCATTTCCCATTTCCCAACAACAACAACAACAATCATAAGAAGAAGAATAATCATGGTTCTGGTTTTGCCATTAAATCATCAGCAGAAGCAAATGCAGACCACACAGAGTAGTAGGGGCAAGAAGATATGAAACCCACAAAAACGCTGACTTTTATTCTTGATTTTTCTGCTCTTCATAGGAAAATAGGACTTTTCTTTTACTCAAGTTAAATAGGAAACTCAATCTTGATTACCATTTCTTCAGAACTGAGCTTGGGAAATTTGATGACTCCTGTTTGACTTGTATCATTTGAAACTTGACAACCATGTGATCCTTCTTGACAAAGATTTACATCAAGCCATGATTCTTTCACCTGATAAATAACAAAAGCATTGCACATTGGTGATCAATGCGATACGACACAAAATAATGAGCACATATTTGGCAGGAAACTAAGCAAGCACCTTCTGGGGCATAGATGGATTATCAAACAATGAATACTCCCGGATTCCAATTGGTGGCCCAAATTCATCCTCTGGTAGTGGTCTCAACATTGCATTTATCTGAACATCACCGAAAATTAGTCAAGTGGGGACACTAAGCAGATCCTTTTGAACTGATTCATATTTGATCTGGAGTCCTCAAAACAGTAGAGGCTCAGATAACATATCTATTTCAGTTAAGGAAAGAATTCTTAGATAAGGAAATCAGTTCCTTGGTTAAGACAAGATCTGTTTTTTTCTTTTTCTTTTTCTTTTTTTTTTTTGGGTGAACTTACGACAAGATCGTCATTCAAATAAAATACAGGCATAAACCACTGAGGATTGCCCTAGGGGCAACCAAAGCATTGTCTGGGGCTAGAGGAGAAGGTATCAAATCCCGCTCCAACAAAATAAATTTCCTTCCACGTCACATTCTTTTCCACCTTTGGTGATAGAGTTTATTTAGGTACATTAGTCAAACTGATGACTGCCGCGGGAGCCTCATCCCACATTATGTGAGGCAACATAGTCCTAATAAATTCATAAATCAACATCTTTAAGACCTATCCCATCGGGAATTTATTTCCATGATTTAAAATTTTATACCTTTACCTATTCAAAACTTTGACTTTCTCAGCTGCCCAATTTGTCTATTAAAGTCAATATTTGTTCATCTCCTTGGTATTTACCAACTCTTAACTTCACCCATTAAGAATCTTCAATGTTCCAATTAATTATAAGATGCCTTAGACAGCCTTTGTTGTTCCATTATCCCATGAGTACGAAGAGACAGAATCTACAGTAAAAATCAATTCCAGCAAAGATAACCAGAACATGTAAGTTCCGCATGCATTTCAGATCACCAGAATGATCTATTTCTCCAGAAAACCTATTTGATTTTTTCCAGAAAGAGGACCCAGGCACCATACTTGTCATTTTCCTTAATTTTGCCAAACAAATGGACTTAACAAAGGCAAAAGCATTTGTCCTCCGAAACTATAGTACTAAATAGGTTACTCATATTGACGCATTATTCTACCCACAATACATGTGATTATATCCTATAACCAGCTAATGAAATACAGTAGTACCTCAAACACATGATCCAAAGGACAGATAAATGGTTGCCTTGTCATTGTGCCTGGCAGGATTCCTGGATGCCCAAACCATAACCTATCCAACCTGCACCATATTGGAGGCATCACCTAAAATCACAAGTAAGAACAAAATAAGATGAAGAAATCATACTGCATTATCATAAGCTATGCAAACTTTATTCATTTGACATGATTTTGCTTTATTTGTATTCTGATGTTGAAATCTGTTTATTTTCTTGACATTTTCCTTTAGTTCAAAATCTTCTCCAAAATGATTACAGTCAAAGAGGAAAGAAATCCTACCAATGTGCGATTCAGTAATGAAGCAACAGCAAGAGCAGTCCTTATTTGTTTTATCTGCATTAAGTATTCAATTATGAAATGGAAGATATATAAAACAAAACAATGGTCAAATTTTTTAAAAAGCAACAATAATAATAAAATAAAATAATGAGAGTTGTATACACTCACTTGATAATTTACAAGTGTGAAGTGTGAATCAAGATTATGATCCCCATCAAGCAACAAGTTTTTGGGTATAGATGGTTTAAATGTCAAAAACCCTCCTGCAAAAGATTCTTAGAAGCATCAGGATGCAGCCATTTCTTCAAAGAAATAAAGTAGCAAGCTCCATTTTTCAAGTCATCTTGATCTAGGACATAACCAGATAGAGTCTGTAGTATATAACTCCATATTTCGAGTTTGGTCATATACAAAATGAAACTCATATAACTTCAGGAAATCACAATCAACTTTTTAGAGTTGTTAATAACTTCGCACTCCCAGAGACATATAAACATGAAGCCTACTTTGTTATATAAGGACAAAGAGAAATGTGTTACAGAATCGCAAGCACTTTCATCTTCGTAGGTGGCGTTAAATGCTTCATGAAGATGATTAGCAATATGTTTCAATCTTAGTTAATCTATATGTAAAATACTTTTGTTACATCATAAGATTGAGTTAGTAAGGCACAACCCAAAGAGAGACATAAAAATGAACCTTCATTTTTTAAATATGAAAAAAGAAAAAATGCATAGCAGAATCACAAGCACTTTTATCTCCGGAGGCGACATTATATGCTTTCATGAAGATGATTAGTCAATATTTTTCAATCGTGGATATCTCAATGTCCAATGCAAGTATTACATGACAGTTTGAGATGTATTCAAGTACAGAGACGACTATCGCCACACATATTGTTAGTTCTAACTACAATTTTAAATGCATTTTTATCCAAATTTACGTCAGAGTTCACCGACTGATATCATGATTCATTGTAATTAAACAAGAACTAAACTCTAGTGGCCATAGCAAGTCCTAAAACTCTCAATATGAATTGAGGTTTCTGAATGTGACAATGTATACTACGGAGCTGAAAGCAGCACTTGTAATCTCAACAGAAGCAAAAATAACAATTTACTTTGTGCAGAATGTTTAAAATATCAAGGTTAGCACTAGGAACATGCTAAGCAAAACAACAGGGAAAACAAAACTTGGTCACTATGAATGCATAAGCCTCGCTAGCTAACTGCTGAAACAAGGCTGTAAAAAGTACAAGTACAGACCCAGATAAAACTGAATGAATAAGGTAGCTAATGGTAATTACAGATCAATAATTGGATATCCATGCATAAAAATTTGGTAAAACTTAAGAAATGGGGAAAAGTAAAATGACCTGAGGCGTCATAGTATTCTGGTGGATCATGAAATACCATCGCTTCTCTTAGCCTGTGACGCTTTCCTTCAGTTCCAGCATACTGGAAAGTAGTGTGTATGGCATAAGGTTCTAGCCTAAGTTGCTGGTACATTGCCTAGGAAATTGCACAAAACAGAGGAAGTTTTATGGCCAAGAATGCCAACCGTAAATGGTAAATTGACCATAGATGTATACCCGATAGTTTTTTGAAATAGGTATCGAGTGATTGCGGAGTGAAAAATGGCGCTATCTCCAGGGGTTACCTGAACAAAGTAGGTATGACCACTGCAAAAGATACTCGCAGGGAGAAGGCCAAGCTTTAGGTCCCCATCATAAGCAAAAGCAAGTCCACTCTCATTGTCAACTGATGGTCCCAGTTGCCTACGTACAAGATCATTGAAACCATTCTGATCCCATATTGAATCGTCAGCAAGAAGCAATGCTTTCCATTCTTTTGCCAGAGTTTTTGAAGAATTTGTTGGCCGCCAGTGAAATATGCCTATGTTATATGCAGCACCAACTGTCAAGGAAAAGTATTTTTGTCAGTCAATTTTGTAGATTAAAAACATTCATCCCACAATTATTCTTTTTGATTTAGCATGTATTTTCATTCTAGGGAAAATCCTTAACTATCTTGAAATATTAGCTGAACTGGCAAACCGACGACGGAATGAAAAACAGTAAATCAGAGAAATGACTCAGGTGTAAGACTAGATGGTAATTCTTTACGACATGTTTGTAAAGTCCAATGGTTGAAGGGAGAATTCTTGGAAAGATGAAAAAAGCATGAGTAAAAGGACATTAGAAGATACTCTTGTAGGTAACTGTATTCACACAAATCCAGTTAACACAATGTAAGAGAGGTAATAACATTCCTAACGTAATATAGCTAATCAGAAGAGAACCGTGCTTCATCTTTAGTGCCCTGGCACAGACTAATTTATAGCAATTTTATTCATTTCCATGCCATACTCTGCAAGATATCGAAAATGTCTTAAGCCTAATTATATATCCCAGTGCCAAGTGCAAGCTCGTAGGCTTAACCAACTGCAGGAAGCCAATTCATGCTACCAAGTTTGCTTAGCTAATCTTTCAGGGAGGATATTGAGCACATAAAAGTTAGCCAAGTAACATTTAAACCATAAAGTGTTTTTCTTCTGTGATAATTACAAATGTTGATTCTTTTAAGACTGCACCATCATTCAAAAAACATTTTTAAGACAGAAAAGTATTGCTACATTCCAATTATGAACTGGTGAGTACCAGGTAAACATTGAACTTAACCACGATGAAGAATTTCCATTTGAACCGTTACCTTGTTCCCAGCGGTCCAAACTATCATCAACAACTGTTGGTACAAGCTGATCAGTAGAGGTTAAGACATCTGCTTCGGGATAGCGTGCCAGATATGGTAGGGGATTCTGTGGCAGGGACATAGTAGGATGAGGAAAAATTTCAAACATGAATAGTGAAGATTAGGCATGGAGATCGTATGCCAGTAATGGTACGGGATACTATTGTAGGGACATAGTCCAAAACTGAATAGGAGAAGACTAAGTGTGGAGAAAATGACATTTGATGAGTATGTTCTTATTCCACCTCTTTACCACCCAAAAGGAAAGGGACAAAAAGAAAAGAAAGGAGAATATGCTATTATCCTGTCAGAACTACAGAGTATAGGTTCAAGGTTCAACAAGGAACACTACTCTCTGCACATGACCACTGTAAACACCAAGCCCCCCCCCCCAAAAAATTCCACCCCCTATCTGTCCCTGTTGATTCATATTTTTAAACAGTTTTCCTCTTTCACTTTGTAGTTCTCCTAGCTATTCCTACTACTCCAAAACTTCCAATAAGAAAGAGTTTTCCTCTTAAAACTGTCCATCTGCAGAAATAACTTCTACTGCCATGCTTCCTAAAACATCCTCATGATACATCCCTCTTACTTTGCTCTCCAGGTACTCTGGCAAAGCTTGACAGTGCAAGAAAGAGCCGACATTCTACCACTTGATCCCAAACTCATTACCTACCCACTCTCATTCTAGGGATTTTGTTAACAACCACAAGGAGCAATAAGTGATTAAAACAATCAAACATTTCGGCATAACTAACCAACTAGTGGCAGCTTAAATTATAACTGGAAATCACTGTTAACAGCCTTGGTTATGATCCAGCTTATAAGATAAGATTAGGAGGCCAACAACTATTTGGGCAACAAAATTACCTTTAACCAAACCATATCCGTATCACACATCAATAGTTCAAAACCAAAAGGGAGAATGGAATCTATGAGAATAACTTTCTCTCTTCCCATTGCGTGAAATGCTTTTGATCCCCATCCAACATCCACTGTACTCATGTGACTGCCCATGTCAAAAACGGGTACACCTTTCCAGTAAAGAGCCTCCAGCAACTTCGTGTCCATTGCACCTTCAGAATTGAGTTAGGATTTCAAAGAATCAAGACAGAGCAGATAATCTCTCGACCTGTTTCACTACCCCCTCCTAAATAAAGATGATATCACTTACCAACAAGAAGATTTTCAAGGCCAATATCTGTCAGGTGCTTAACCCATGTTAAGATGAAATCCATGAATGCATAGTTACCAAATGTGACTATGATAACGTTGTCCTTTGCTCTTTGTTTAACAAGCTTCTTCGTTAGTCGAAAGGTCTTCAGAGGAGGCATCTTAGACCCAGAAGGGGGTTCCTCCCAAATAGATCCAACTAATTTTTTCCTTGACTGGGAAGTGGGATTCATTGTTATATTTGAATAACTTATATGAGAAGAATTCGAAGCTTGCTTTGATGCTGGGGAATCTGTAAAATAAGATATTCAGTGATTGATTAAATTGGGTAGAAACTAGGAAGGGTACACAGTTTAGAAGTCATATAGTTGATACTAAAAGCCAAAAGATAATTAGGTTATAGATAATATCAAGTGAATAGATACAAATAAGTGCGGTCCTGGCATGAGGATGCAGAACATATTGAATAACAAGGTTAACGGTCGACTTAACAGCAAACATATAAGAAGCAAACTGACAGTTTACAGACACCATTGGATGCAAAAGCCAAAGATAAGTAGGTGGTAAAAATGCAATAACAACATTTGCGTTATTTTCTCTCATTAGAAGTAACATACACATAGTAATAAATTGCAGCAGTCCTGCAAACTGACCCATGATCCTAATCAAGAAAAGAATGCAAGAGGACAATTAAACACTTATAGATACTCAAATTTATCAATAGCTCGTGTATTACAATGGCATGGATATGACATGCATAAAGTCCAACATAAGATTCAAAATCAACTCTCGGCTCTTGGTACTTTTTCTTGACACCAGTTTTCAAGCTTATTATTGAGTTTTACCAAACAAAAGCCAAACTCCATAACATAAACTTTGGGCTAAATTACCCAATCCATCATATTCCAATCTTCCATGGGAAAGAGAACTGTAAAGCAATTCCAACTAAAAGGCGAACCTATTTTCTTCGAACAAAATTTTGGCAAGAATCACCCCAGGATCAGCAGAATTTGAACAATGCCAGAGAATTTTTAAGCCAACCAACGGCATATTTAGATACTTTCTATCAGAAAAAGTACTATAATTACATATCTTGCTATAACTGGACCATCTTTAAAACCTCCACAAATCACAGGAGTAGCAACTCTCTTAAAAGTTTCTTGACAATCCAGAAGTTGATTCCATTGTAAAAAACTACTGTGTTGGGCTTTCATGATCAAAGCGATAGAATAGAATTAAGAAACTTCGAAAGCATATAAGAAAGGCCAAACCAAAGTCAACACAGAGTACTTTACCCCTGAAATCCTTACAAAGCAAGCATATTCAAAATCGACACATCTTTTCCTAAACTTTGTACAAAAATGTCAGTACTGATCATCAAATAAAACCCATGAGTAAAAGAGAAGGCGAATCCCAACAGCGTTAAAACCTCATAAACCCACAATGCAGAATCAGCTACAAGAGGAAACTGATCATAATTATGAGTATGTGCACAAATCATACACAAACTACACTGCCATGTACCTGAATTGAACCATAGAGAAGTTGAAGAAGGGGAAGGAGTTGACGGTGAGGAGCTATACACAGCAGAAAAAACATAGAATGATGACACCAGTATCCCCACCACCACAGTGCCGTAGATCATCAGGAAAATTGGCTTGTAATTAGTCATATCTTTGAAAGGACTATTCCAAGCCATTTCTGATTATGTTCCCCACTCACTATAAATACTTCCCCAAGAAAAACCCACAAAAGAATTGGGGACTAAAGATCACAAATTTCTTTCTTTGACTAATGCAGAATCATAACTGCATAAAAGGGTTGTGCCTATTTTCAGTAGAATGTGCTGTAGAGACCCCGTTAGGAGCTGAGAGAGGTTCTATGAATCACAGAGCTATGGAGTTTTTAGGGTGGCGAAGATGGTGAAAAGTCAACGAAATCATTCATCAGCAGACTTTGAGTAATTCAACTTGGATATTTGATTTTTGGGACAGAGAAACAAATCAAAAGTACAATAATCTAATCAGTAGGTAATGGAATATATTCCTAATATTATTATTAGTATCAAATTGATGATGATTTGCGAGGGAGGAGAGAAGAAGAAGGTAAAGATTTTGACTTTTTTGGGGGACCTCATGGAGTTGGTATTGGCAGGCTGCTTAGCTTAGTACACTAGTGCAGCTCAGCTGGATTAATTAGCCCCCCCCCTTTTTTTTTTCTTTCTTTTTTTTTTTTTTTTTTTTTTTTTCTATTTTGGTTGTGTTAACAAAAAATTCGAAGGTGTGAATAAATCTCTCAATTCTCAACAACCCTTAAGGGGATGATTGTTTTTTCTTTTTCACTTCTTTGGCCTCTCTCAACCTCAGTTATCAAGTTTCCAACTAATGTACTACAATTTTAACTTAAATTGTTAATGTCTAATTCAAGGGGGAAAAAAAAAGATGGTTGTCTTTATTCCCTTCCTATAAGACGTTTTGGACCTGATGTTTTTCATTTCCTAAGAAGTAATTAATGCAATTGTTCTAATTTTAACTCTCTGTAGTTACTAATTTAGTATTTGCTATTTTTTACTAGCTTTTAAACTACAACCTTAATAAGTGGTAGGAATACTTTTGTTGTTTGACAAGTTTTACAATTCTTTTTTTATATTGGCTTTTGTAGTTTTCCAAGTCTAGTTCTTTTAATTTATTTATTTTAATAAAGAAGAATGGATAGACTAAAGTTTTTTAGTGGTTTGTTTTCTGTGCTTGACAATTTTGCAATTATTTTACACAACCCTAAGTGAAGAAATTCGAGTTAGTGATGACAAAAATTAAAATTATAATGTCACAAACTAAAAAGTGGCGCTTTCTTTCTTAGGACATGCACGAAAATATAAATTCTGGTAGGACATTATGGAAAGTAAATACAGTATAACGTGCCTTTCACTCACAATACACAATCCAGTTAAACACACAAAAAAAAAAAACTACAGGTTGTTTCCATATTCAGAACCTTTTATGTAATTTATGGAGTTACATAAGTGAGACAATGAATGTACTTTCTCAATCTCAAAGTTATAACAATATTATTATCTGAAAATATTTTTAATTCAATAAATAAGACTAGTTTCCTACGGAAAAAGAAAACTACTTTTTACATATGAAAATTTTGTGTGATCATTCCAATTGTGACCGATTGATGTCCAATTTTAAATATCCTACTGTTTTATAACAAAGAGAAGAACTGAAATGTAACTTTTATATATATATATATATATATATATTTATATATATAAAATCCTTATATGGGTATATATCCGGCTCAAAAAACTAATTCACTATGTTGAACAGAAAAATAGAGTGTTTAACTTTGACCCTTGTTTTTATCATTTGGTGTATTTTCCATTTTTTTGTCTTTAAACAACCAAAAATTATTGTCCACTTTGAATTTTTATTTTCAGTTTAAATTATATTAAAAATAAAATCTCAAATTGGATAACAATTTTTAGACGAGGAGGAGTATGATATCTTTGAACATTTAGTGGTTAGTTACAGCTAGCCTTTAAGTCTTTTCCCATTAGAACAGAGGACCAATCTACGTTGACTACCGAGAGAGAGAGAGAAGAGGGAAAAAAAATTTCTAGTTCCCTAATTATTTCATGCTTTTGTATTAAATCTCTTTATCCTTATATTTAATATAAAGGCATAGTAGTCAAGAAATTAAATGCCCAAGAAATATTCAGGGTCACCTTCAAATCGTTCTTGTTCGTCGGATGGTCTCGATATGACGTCAACGACTTTTTAGGGGCAATAATGAGATTTCATAAATGCATGTCCTCCCAATTTTAAATAAAACTCCCCAAGCCTTTAAAATAAAGTCGTTGACCAATCCCTATAAATTTGTTTAAAAACTCCCAACCCACAAAACAACGTCGTTTTGTATTACTCACTAATCAACTAAAATTTCCCATTTGCCCTCATCGTCCACCTCATCTTCTTCACCCAAAACCATCAAAAGAAAAGTTGTACCTCCACTGCGACCCAAAGAAACCCGACCTAAACCTCATCTTCCTCTCCAAAAAATCAAAAAAAAAAAAAACCATAGGGCACAATACTTTCTCCGCCTACACTGCCACCTACTACCTTTCATCGTCCTCCTTACCATGGAAAAACCAGATTCTCCATCAGATCCAATGCGTCGAGTCGCCGAAAGAGAGGCAGCGGAACAACCGGTATCCGAAGCACGGAGGAATAGAATTTGGAAATTACCATTTAATCTTAGATTTGTATAAGGCTGTAAATTCCGAATTGTAATATGAATAAGAATTTCAGATTCATTAGAAAGTTGAGGTCGGCTACCATGGCTATAAAAGCCCAGCTAACCTCACAATTTTAGACCACATCAAGTTTTCTTGTTCAGCTCTCTAGCATAATACTTCGACGGGCTTTTCTACTGATATCATGGTAGCATAGTGCTTTCTATGTATATATAGTCTTGTCATGATGAGATCAAATTCGCCATCCCCTTGAAATTCAATTAGGGAGGAGCTTGATTCTTAAAAAAAAAAAGCATTATAAAAACTTGGAATTGAAGGAACTCCGTCACCGGCACCATGATGATCTCTCAATTCTTCGTGCTCTCCCAGAGAGGCGACAACATCGTGTTCCGCGACTGTGAGTTTCCTCTTCCCTTAATTTTTTCATAGAATAGTGGTACTGTAAATCAGATCTACTTAGACAGCTGATATTTGACAAATTGGAGCTCTTTTATTCCAAATTTGTCTTTTTATTCGTATGATTTCGGAATGAATGTTTTTTTATTCTCCCAGCTAGCAACTTGAATTTCTCTATTCTGAACTAAAGCTTAATTCTGTATCTGTTGTCTTTCCGCTGTGGGAGTCATGATTTACTGGATATTATGGTCCCCTTATAACATCGTAGTGTTAATTATGCTGCATGTTTTCTTTTTCCATTCTAATAAAATAGCTCTTCACTTTGTCATTCTTGCTCTTATAGAGTATAGAGCATGTGTGATTGTCAACCTTATGTTTGTAGTGGTTAGGTTTATCAGAATGTGCAACATAAGCTTATTTCTCGGTGAAGTTTAAATGAAGAAAATATGTGCTTGGGAATGGATGAGATCGTTATGATCACTTATGTGTGTTTGGCTGAATTTTAAAGGCTCTTATTGGTTTACGAATATCATGCAGACATCGATCAAGTGAGCTATATTCTGCTGCTGTTCAAGATTTTGAGATGTTGTTTTATGCCTTATTCTTTGAAATGCAGATCGCGGTGACATACAAAAGGAAAGTGTTGAGACGTTCTTCCACAAGGTTAAACTTTGGAGTGAAGACGGCGAAGAGGAGGCTCCGCCTATATTTGTAGGTATTTCTGTTAGTGGGTTAACCCTCTGCAAGTGTGACTTAAGCTAATGATGTGTATGTTTCCGTTCATAGAATGTGGATTGTGTAAACTACTTCCATGTCAAGGTGGCTGGCCTGGGCTCTTTTTTGTTGCAACCACGAGAACAAACATTGCTCCTTCTCTCATTTTGGAGCTTTTTACAGAGCATTACCCGTGTCATCAAGGATTATCTAGCATTCTTAATGAAGATTCTCTGCGGAAGAATTTTGTGCTCGTTTATGAGTTGCTTGATGAAGTCATCGTAAGTAAATATATTTTGAGTCATATCTTGCATATGTGCTGAAAACTCAAATTATTCGAGTAATTACCAAGCCCTGTTTTCTCCCTTTTCTATCTTTTGGTTGTGCTAAGTTTCGCGATGGTTATGATATTAACTGATTCAGTAAGGTTCTTGATCTGCGTTTCAGTAACATTTTTTTCTACAAAGACAAGCAGTAAGATTTTTTTTTCAAGAAATAATGCTCAAGAAATATTCAGGGGCACCTTCAAAGCGATTTCGTCCGTCAGATGGGTTTAATCCGACGGTCGGTATTAAATCACTTATTAGAGGCAAAAATGAAATTTCAACCGTGTTTTTGAGGGTAATAAGAAAAAATCCCCAATAAACAAACGTAAATTTTTGAGGATAAAAAGCAAAAAACCCCCCGATGAAGAAAACGATGTTGTCCCCTTTGCCTAATTTTTCCCCCCCAAAACTCCACCCAAATGACGTCGTGCCTTCATCTCTAAACCAAAAAACCCTCTCTCCCCTCGTCGTTCTCAGAATTACCTCTTCCCCGACTTTTTCTTCTGCCACCCTCCATTGGAAATCAGTCAATCGCCTCGTTTCCATCGTGACCCCAACACTGCCGGCGGCGTTTCCACTGACACCATGGCCTTGGGCCTTGGATTTATTTTGGCCCAACAAGAAAGAATTTCTGATTTTCCTCTTCAAATAGGATTAGGAAATCATCAGAAAAAAAATTTTCCAATTCCAAATCGTCCCATGATTTCAAACTTCCAATCGGATTAGAATTCAAAGTCGGCAACCGGTCTATAAAAACACCAGCAATCCCCACAAATAGAACCACCCCAAACTCTCTCAGCAGTTGATTTTACCTCCCTTTGGATTTTCGACGATCTCCTAAAGATTTCGATTATGCCAGAGTCGGTTCCACTGGCGATGTCGTTGTCGACCAAGACCATGGAGATGGCGAGTGGTGCGTGGTATTGTGCTGGAGGTAATTCAATTGTAGTGTTTAGATAAGACTAGAAATTGCCAAAAAAATAATGAATATCCGATACTGCACCTTGCACTATTGTAGCTGCTTCATGGGTGTTTTGTTTTGCCCATTGGTTAATGTTTGTTCACATCAACTGCATATTATTCATGTACATGACAGTTTGAAGAGTTCTTTGATAGTCTATGTGGTGTAAATTTTTAGATTTTATTTCTTTTTTTTTCTATTGCCATGAACTTGTGGATTGTTCAAATCAGGATCAGATCCTTTGTGACTAAGGATGGTAAACTAATGAGGTTAGTTTGTTTCATAAATTTATAAACTAAGTTGTTATCCTGATGTGTTTGTGGCAAGCTGATAAAGACACCAATGAGATTTATGCTCAAATGCATCGATGAACTCTGTAAGTTTCACGCTGAAATTTGTACTTGTATAATCATTATTATATTAGCTGAACTGAAGGATTCCACTGAATCATTGTTATATTGTGATGAGTTCTTAGTGATATGGAGCTCTTCTCTTGCTTTTGGATCAAGAAAAGGATGCCTCTCCCATGCCAGATTTTGGCTAAAGACTGGCAAACATCCTACTGAGTTCTTCTGCAAGACTTTGACTGCAAGTGACACTAGCACTCATGATGAGTTCTCAGTTCCATGAAGAGCAGCTGAGAAAACTCTTTCCATAGTTGGTTAGGCTCCCCATTGCATGAGATTTCTTGCCTTGCCTGGATGGCATTCCCATTCCAAGACTTGGTATTCATATTTTCTCTATGTTAATTTAGGCTTCTATTCTCCCCCCTGCCATTATAATCGCTGTCGATTTTATGTTGTGTACTTTTTTCAGGTATTTATTTACTATTTTGTAAGATTTAACGAGTTTAAAGTTTCTGAAATTCAGTGGTAGAGGTGTTTTTTTTGCTTTTTCTCTTTCAGTTTATGTGCTTAAAATTTTCCTTTTGTTTGTTAAAAACTTTTGCCCTGATCCTTTTGATAGTTAGTGATTCCATTATTCTATCTTATATGGTTTTTGAATAAAAGCAACATGGACATTTGGGCCAAGGTGTTGCAGCTACCACTCTTAAATTCATCCTGGTAGATTATATATAGATCGTAGTACACAGATTTCAGATAAATTCAGATTTCACTACGTTTTCACCTCAAGCTTTTGTTTAAATCCTAGAGAGTTTAGCTTGGTTAAATCATATATTACGTACCGGTTGGTTTTTAGTCTTCAATTTGTGGTTGCAAATACCACATTAGATTTAAATTTCTACATCGATATTTTAGGTGTCGTATAAGGTTGAATATGCGTGACCACAGTGGTCACTTGCAGGCTACGAACTTAGGCGATATCGGAGAGAAGCTCTTGGGAATTACTGCATAAGAGATGATAGAGGAATGAGAAAAAGTATTACAACATCTCTATAAAAATATATTATGGTTTGTACTTTCTCTTCTTATTTCTGTTTATGAGGTTATCTCATAAACTGGTAGTTCAGATATTACATTTTAGCAGGAACATGCAACTCCAAGTTACTCTAATTCAAACTCATGTGCTCTTTACTTACTATCTCACCCATACTGAATGTCTTTCCTTAATGTGATTTAGGGACAAAACTCAAAGACTTTATCACCGTTATGGAGTCTGCTGCGTTCCAATCTCCATTATGGGCTTTATCACCATTAGATTTAAATTCCTACCTCGATATTTTAGGTGTCGTATAAGGTTGAATATGCGTGACCATAGTGGTCACTTGCAGGCTACGAACTTAGGTGAAATCAGAGAGAAGCTCTTGGGCATTACTGCAAAAAAGATGATAGAGGAATGAGAAAAGGTATTACGACATCTCTATAAATATATTATGGTTTGTACTTTCTCTTCTTATTTCTGTTTAGGAGGCTATCTCATAAACATGGTAGTTCAGATATTAGATTTTAGCAGGAACTGGCAACTCCAAGTTATTCTGATTCAAACTCATGTGCTCTTTACTTACTTTCTCAAATTATTCTCTCAGAATATTGGTTTCAACCTGGCTTTTGATGCTTGCTTTGCAACCTCTTCCTTGAGAATACCTTTGTTCTCACCCATGCCGAATTTCTTTCCTTAATGTGATTCAGGTACAAAACTGAAAGACTCTATCACCGTTATGGAGTCTGCTGCGTTCCAATCTGAGATAGCCAAACTTCCTCATAATGTGGAGGAGTATGCTAAACAATCCCCAATGCAAAAATTCAGGAGAAACATGTGATAATTATTTTGATATGTGCTTTGTTTTTTATCACTCATACAATGTTTCGCCTCTATACTTTTTGTTTTCCACGAGTTAAGGATTTTCAAACCGTTTGATGCATCTAATATGTTTGGAATTGATGTTTTCCAAATTTTGGTTGTTGTGAATTCCACATTCAGGACAAACAATGAAGTACAAAAAATAGATTCTAAATAGAATTTGCCTATGTGCCAATTTCGGTAAAATCCAAGACAAATATCAAAACAAGATCCATTTTTCATTCCAAGATTCAAAGCTCGAAAACCACCCACAACAATACATGATGGAATAGAGTGGAGCCATCTCGCAAATTATAATCATTCCCCTTCTTCACTATATACATTATTATTTACTAATTGATATGCTTGTATTAATCTATAAGCACTACGACAGTTGTGTTTTGTGCATACACACAAGATTTTGACGAAACAAAAATAGCAATAAATAAATGTACTAAACCAGTATGTGTATGTACACTTTACAAGCTCAGTTAAAACACCTTAAACTAAGTTAAGAAAGAAAAATGTACAAATGTTCATAAAACTGTGAGCAAGATGATAAGATTATTTTCCAAAAAACAGGACAGATGCACACTGTTTATTAACGGAAATAAGTCCTTTTACTTCTTACTAATATCACCAAGCCACACATACCTTTTTATCGGAAAAAAAAAAAAAAAACAAATCATGAATACACAATTAAACAATTATGAGAGTGCAAGAACAAAATGAACAAAATACAATTCCTCAGCCAAGAACGTTCAAATAACAAGGGGGAAAAAACAATACTCCACTATTAAGCGTAACAACAAAGTATCAACCAAACATGAAGTAAAAATATTAACATCAGACAAAGGAGTAAAAAAATTTACACACAAACTGGTCGCGCAACGCGCGACAACGAAAACCTAGTTATTCATATGAAAATACAAGTAAGAATACTTTTGTATTTTCATCCATGTAATTACAAGTATCATTATCCGTTTTACGGATAAAGTTACTTTCACTATAACTTCTTTTCATATAATTAAGTATTGTTATGTGTCATTTTGACCTCGCGACGTTGAGGACCTTCAGGAGATATTCCATTGTCACTGCACGACTGCATGTTGCTCCGCAGATCAACTAATTTTACTGCCTCAAAAAATAATAATAATAATAATAATAATAATAATAATAATAATAATAATAATAATTTAATAATCCACCACTTTGAGGTGGAAATAAATAAACCAAAAAGAGACACAATTAGAAATTTAGATAATTAATGGTAGTATCGCAAATAGGTTGACCATAATTAATAAATTATACTTTTAATTTGAACTGATTTTCTTAGACAGAGAAAGTACTCCATCAATTCCAAAATAAGTGTCATTCTAGAGATTGCACATAATTTAAGAAACACTCAAATAGGGTAGCTAAATTACTAGAATATTCTCAACCAATCCCGTTAAAATAATGCTCACCAATAATATTATTTCTTTTGAAGGTATGTTTGAAAATTTTTGATCAAAAATGCATTGAAATATGAAAATGATACTTATTTTGAAATTTCTCCATTTTGCTAAAACGACAGTTATTTTAGAATGGAGGGATCTTGCTCATTAGTTTGAGCCATACAAAAGCCACTAGAATGTTGCTATAATAAATAGTGGCTTTTCTACTGCAATCTTATTATTGCACCTCATAGTTTATTTATACCATTCACAGTCAATTTCAAAGTTATATAGTTTAGAACTCATAGTTTATTTATACCATTCACAATCAATTTCAAAATTATATAGTTTAGAACTAAAGGTTCAGCTTTTTCATATTAACTCCTATTTATTTAAATTTTTTTTAGTTAAAAAATACAAAAAAAAATATCAAATTCATTAAAATATAACATTGATAAAAATAAATAAATAAAATAGCAATATGAAAATTATGGAGCTTAAATACACAATATTGTTCAAGTTCTTTATATCCTTCCATATTTCCCGAACCAGAGACCATACTGTTATGGTCGAATCCATCCATTTTTTAATCGACGAGATAATTCAATCTGCCATACACACTCATCACTAATCACTCACATTCAAAAATAAAATGCTCGATCGTTCCAAAAGGCAAAGCAAATACTTGGTACGCTGCAAACTTTTCTTGGAAAAAAAGCAATGCAAACATTTGGTAATAAAAACTTGTCTCATTTAACGCCTGATGCCTCCATGGTTATGCATGCTACTAGTACTGCACGTCTGCATTGTTTTAACTGTAAAAAATGATCATCCCCAAACATCTCAAGCATATAAAATTTGTTGGAAATGGTTACCCAAACGAAAAACTAAGGAAAGAAAAGTTGCTGCATAAGTATAAATCCAAGATGCGTCCACTCACATACAAATTTTTCAACTCCTGTTTACAGGTTTGTAAAACAGAACCCGTCAGAGACTTCATAGCAAAATAAAAACTATCAGTACCTTGCACTACCTCACCCGTTCACTGAACTATATTGGCACTTCTACTGCTCAGGTTTCCCCAAGTCCAACCAAAAATACACTGCTATCATTAGAATTTGACAACGCGAGAAAGCAAAGCCCCATAACAGCTGAGCTATTCAGTGAACGATGTCAAAACTTGTAGGGCAATATACTAAGCATAGAAATGAGCAAAATCAGTACTTAGCAAGAACAATTTCTCCGACACAGTTGCCTCGTGCTCCATGCAGCAACCATAATCTCTTTCAACAAACAAAAAACTGCAGAAGGGTAGCGATTTCAGAAAATTTCACATCCAGCACAATCAAATAGCCTCTTGATAAGCATTACCCAAGATACGGACCAAAAGCTAAAAGCTCCAGTCAGTGGATAGGAATGGATGATCAGGGGCAAGAACGTGACCTTGTTAATGACTATTTTTAATCATCCAGGTAGTAATATGATCCTGCAGCCTTCTGCTCTCTGTCCTTGGTTGAATCAAGCTTGTTGATTCTTGGACGATAATTAGTTGGATCCCGTCTAAATGTAATGTCAAGATGCTGCATAATAAGTCAAATAATAATACGTCAAAAAAAAAACCAACGGAATCTTTCACAAAAAAGTTTGGAGAAAAAAAAAACACCAAACAGCAAGGAGAAATCAAAACACCATGGTAACTCTTTTATCAAGGAAATGATACCAGATATTTCTGGGTTTTACATGTGATACTTGAATATCAAAAAGCACAACGTTAAGCACTAGTAAAACAAAACTGGAGGCTTACTGATAAGAACAGGTTCATTCCAGTCAACAATGACTGAGGTGCATTGGCAATACAATCTACGGATGGCCTTCCTTCATATACAACAACACGATCAGCCAAGTAGGTTGCCATTATAAAATCATGCTCAACAACGAACGCTGTCTTCTTTGCATGCAATATAAATCTCTTTATGACTTTAGAAGCAACGATACGCTGCTCAGAGTCGAGATATGCACTTGGTTCGTCAATCAGGTAGATATCAGCAGGCTGAATGACAAAACAAAGATTAGTCGGACAACATTAAATAAAAGAAGGAAGTTAAACCAGCACAAAACATAAGGCTAGCTACACATTTAATACTATCACGTCCGGCTTTCCTTAAGACCAATCCCCAACTACTGAATCCTATCTATCGATAGAGATAAGAACCTTCATTTAGGAGAAATGCAAGAAGAAAATGACTCCCATCCTTCTTTAACATTCAGTAAACTGTAAGCTTATTAACGTATATCTACATATCTTTATTCCAAATATAAAAATTAATCAATAAGACAGGAACATTAAATGCCAATTACTTGTAACTTCTTACATAGTTATGTATAAAGATTATCCTCCAAAATACATACCTTCCCAAGGCACAGAGCCAAGGCAACTCTTTGTAATTCTCCACCAGAAAGGTTCACAACCTCTTGATCCATTAATTGCTCAATCTGAAGAGGCTTCATTACATCTGATACAAACTGCGGATGAGTGTATGAATCCCGTATCTTTTGATGCAGTAAGGTCCTCACAGAATACTGAAATTTGGGGCTTATCTTCTGTGGCTTGTAAGACACATTAAATTCCGGGATCTCCTTTTCATCACCCTCCACTTCATCAGGTTTCAGTAAACCAGCCTGCCAGGTAAAACATGTCGAGGAAGCCGTCAATAACAGGAAAAAGTTCCCCAAAAATGAAAGGAGAAAATCTAACTCCGAACATACCAGCATGCGGATAAATGTTGTTTTGCCAGTACCATTTTCACCAAGCATGACAATGATCTGGGAGTCGGTAAATTCACCCTCAATAACCTTAAGCTTGAAATTTCCCTGGGTTTTGGTCATGGTTGGGTACTTATAACGAGCATAGGTTTCAATTTCCTCAGCACTTTCCTGTGGAGTCTCAGCCACCTGGTTAAAAAAAGCAACAGATTAATTTTCAGCACTTCCACATATTCTTGCCTTATTTATCATCACAATCTTACCCTAAAAGTAAGTGATTCATCCCTGAACCGTAGATTTTCAGTTGGAACAAATCCAGCCAGGAATATGTTGATTCCTTCTCGAACAGAGAATGGAAGAGTTACAACACCATATGCACCAGGCTTCCCATACAGACAGCAGATGAAGTCGGACAGATAATCCAAGACACTGAGATCATGCTCCACAACAATTACATAGCTGCAAAAAGAAGGGAAGAAATGCTAAGTAGTTTCCTTTTACAAAAGTGATTTGAAGAACGCCAAGGTAGGTAAAAGCAAGAAGTGTGGTCCAACCTATTGGGTCGAAGCAAAGATCGAACAACTTGGGCAGCTTTAAGTCTCTGTTTAACGTCCAAATAACTCGAGGGTTCATCAAACATGTATATTTCTGCACTCTGCACTGCAACAACGGCAATGGCAAACCTTTGAAGCTCTCCACCAGATAAATCCCCCACATTACGGTCCAAGACCTGATTCAGCTCAAGGTCTACACAGAGTTCTTCTTTCATGTCCCTTTCATCTTTTTGATCAAGCACTTGGCCAACATTGCCTTGCACTGCTTTTGGTATGTGGTCAACATACTGAGGCTTGATGAGCGCCTGTCCCAAGAATAGAAAATACGAAATCAGGATAAGGGGATAAATTGATGAAACCCAACATATCAAACATAATCTACAAAATGCCAAAAGATGACTGTGCTCGGCATGTAATACAAGAATCTACATGTAGAAAAACAATGGAGCTCTCCCGGGCCTGTGTAATGCTTTTGAAGAATAGTTTGATAAAGTTTACGAACCCTCCAAATCACACAGATGACCAATATATACTTCCTACTCAAACTTCATGAGCCAAAGTATTCAATTAGCGGTTCTCATCAAGTATTTCATTCTGGTCCCCCTTAATTCCAAGCCGATATACAATCAGAAATATATATCCAAATTTCTTACGACCAGGCAAACCAAAATAATAGGTAGACAATGAAACAGAATTTCCAACAGTAGAAAACATGCAATATCCAAAAATCTAAGAAACCAAACCACCAGATGAATAAATATGTCTTAAGATGCATAGTGATAATTGATATATTAGGCTGCCACAGTATCCTTGACAACTTACCAGAAAGACTAAGGAAAGAATGGCAACACCAGATATACCAACATTTACACCGGGATAAGGAAAACTACACATGCTTTATGCACTGTCAGAGATCTAGCAGCCATAATCCACTTTAGGTCATTTTTGGGTGTAAGACATTCACAGAAATTGCAGTTTAACAACTTTTAAGCAGTAGTTAAGCAAACCCATCTAATGAAACATAATTAAACAGAACCAGCTAAACAAAGACGCCCGCCAAAGCTTAGTTCATCACTTCCTTACAACACTGTTCTTGTAAGACATAACCTTCTTTAAAACTAGACCAATTAACTTACCATTCTTTTAATGATAATTAAGTAAAAAGAATGAGTGAAGATTTTATCACATAATGGGAACAGAAAGACAACATGCAACCTTGAGTATAATTTAAAATACTAGACCTTTAAGTTGTCTTCCAAGATACGGGTAAAATAGTTCTGGAGTTCTGATCCACGAAAGTAAGTCAAGATCTCCTGCCAATCAGGAGGATTCTGCACCAAATGAAAATGATGCACATTAAAAGCTTCATCATTATGGCAATCTGAAAGTTCAAAGCGATGGTAACCTATATACTCACGTTAAAGCGGCCCAAGTTAGGTTTCAATTTTCCAGCTAACACTTTAAGGGCTGTTGATTTCCCAATACCATTTGTACCAACCAGGCCAAGAACCTGCCCAGGTCTTGGAACTGGTAATCTGTACAAAAAAAAAAAGCAAACTCAGACTAAAATAGATATAAATTATATGGCTAACTCTCTTGAATTAATGCACAAAACAAGCACATTGAGTAATTATCAAATTCTGCATTCAGAAAACTGAGAATATATTTAGTACCACTGCTGCCTATATAGTGATATACTGGAGAAGAAACGAAACGAAGAAGAAAAACAAACTACGCATTGAGTCTCAAGTAGCAAAGTAATCAGTACTTCTTGTGCTCTTTCCAAAAATGGCAAGAAAATAACTAGTAAATTGAAGAGGAATTTCTAAGATTAAAATACCAGTGCAAAGGCTAAAAGCCAAAACACATCTATGTATGCTACCACAGAGCCAGATACTAACCTATGCAATTTAAACGTGTTTGGACCATAACGGTGGGTCGTATCCTTGTCCAGATCTTTTGGTAAATTGATAATTTGAATGGCCTCAAATGGGCATTTCTGAAAAAAACAGAGAGAACAGCATTTAGCGACACAAACAACATAGTAACTTCAAGCTAACAAAAATTCATGAGTATAAGCAAGATCTAACAAACCTTCACGCAAATACCACATCCAATACAAAGCTCTTCTGAGATAAAAGCTATCTTAGATGCAGTAGTCACCTCAATACAAAGCTTTCCTGCAAACAAAAAAATATAACCCTGTTCAACCCGAAGTAAAAAGCCTTGTACTGGCCACTTCTCAAAGCATAAGCACTTTGAGAAAGGAAGACGTATTAGGCTTGTCTGGGAACAGATTCAGACAAGGTACTCATCCGTGGTGTGTGCAGCACTAAAAGATACCATGTACCAACATTTTTGTCGTTGCATATATTTTCTACAAGATCGATGAATGGAGTTCCATATCATATAATCATTGACAAAAGCCCCAGTTCCAATGGTTGTTATGTTTTCTTCTACATAACACAATCGATACACGTTTACATGTACTAGTAAAGTAGTAATGCAACCTACCAACTATAGTGAGCTTAATCACACACTAAATAAGCTTATGGGCATAAACTTCAAAGACACCAAGAGAAAGACCAGAAAAGATCTCAATACTGTTTCCAGCAAATAGTTTTGCCTATCGAGCAACAAATATTATAAATTCACAATTTCAAATATTTGATCTCAATCCCTCTGCAAGACCAAAAATAATTCCAACAAAATCTACAAAATTAAACTTCAAACAACCAGCAAAATCATAATCAAACAAGGAAAACAAACTAAAGCCTCCAAACATACTAAAAAAAAACCTTCAAAAAAACTGTCAACCAAATCCATGATGAACAAACATCAAATCAAGACATCCAGGGACATAAAAATAAGAGAAGAAGAAAAGAAGAAGAAGAAGAAGACATAAAACTTACCAGTTTTAACAACCGGACAGCTCTTCTTACATTCTTGCCTGCATTTCTTCGGCTTACACTTATCAGAACTCACTATAGCAATACGCGTCAACCTCTGATCGGCCATTGCACTCTACCTGGCAACAAAATCATCCACCAAACATAAAAACAAATCAGAAACCCGAACTAATCATCCGACAAACATATAAACAAATCAGAAACCCTAATTCTACGTCCTACCAATCAAACGAAAGAAACATTATTCTGTGCTAATTAGGATTTCCTAAATTTAAGAATTCATTAGACAGATGATAAACGAAATCTTACCTCGGAAGGATTGATTCCGGTGCAGAGGCGTGTGGTGAGAACGAGATGATGCTTACCAGCGCAGTGAGAATTATATATGTCGTGAAGGACAAAAAGAATTGGCGTTTCACAAAAGAGCAATTTTATATGAGGATTTAATCAGGAAAAAGGAAATTGGAAAATGTAAAAATGAAGAGGTGTGTGACTATGTGAGAGAGAAGAGAATTTTATTTTTACGTTGGGAGCACGCAGAAGAATCTAGGGTTTTTCTCTCTAAGATGAAAACAATGAAATTGCAAATTTTGCTATGGGTTTTTGTAAATTTACGCATTCTGTCCAAAAATTAATGTTCAGTTTAAAATGTTACTTTTAGTAGAATTTGAACTAAAAATAAAAACTCAAACTGTATAATAATTTCGCTACGGATCGGTGCGGAGTATATATTTAGGACTAATTTCCGGTAGAATTTGGATTTGACCTTTGGCATGTGAATATCCGCATAATTATGTCACATGTGATTCTTGCAAAAATTAGTTAATTCTCCATTTCGTTTAAGGGTAATTATAATTACTCCCCACAAAGTCTGGAAAAACAACAAAATAACTCTCTCTATATATACTAGTTCTATCCAACGCGCGACAGTTCTCTTTCGAATCATTTTACTTAAATCGATCAAATTGTGTATTTTACTCTATTCTTGTTTGAAGAGATCTGTTACGATCAATTTTTGTTTGAATATCTATCTTGGCAGCTAATATTTTATGAGGAAACATGAAAATAATTCTTTAATATCAAGGGTGGATTTGTATGTTTAAGTTGTAAAAATTAATTTTGTATTTTGTTTCAGTGTTTTAATTCTATATCAAAGATCAACCTTACAAATACAACTTACATCCTCGTCTCAAATGTTCAAAATCCAAATTTCCATTGTAGTTTGGAGTTTAGTGTAAGAAGTCATTCACTACAATTTTTTGGAATTCAAGATAAAATGCCTAGTGAAGATGATGAAAATTTAAGACATTTGTGATGGTATATAGACATGGCAATGCTCTTAGCAATTTAGACTTTGTTTGGACGTCTACTCATTTTTCATTTTCAACTCAATTTATCTCTTAGACACAAAACCCAATGTAAAACAAATAACCGTCCAAACAATTTTCTGATTTACATTTTAAAATCAAACTAGAAACATTTTATTAGTGTAATGACCTTTTTTTGAACTAAAAATAGTTCAATGACTAAATCCAAAACTTTGTACATTTATTTCAGTTTGCCTCTAGTCAAAAAACTGAGGCCCATTCATGGTGGTTAGGAAAAAGTTTTTTGGAATATGTATTGAAATATCAAGTACGACAAATATCATTAAACAACCGAAAAGTGTAAATTTTAGTCACTGTAAAAAAAAAAAATTCAAAAATGATCACTAAACAACGAAAAAGTGTCGATTTTGGTCACTGTAAAATATTAATTTTAGACACTATTCCGTGATTTTAGTGATCATTTTACAGTGACCAAAATCGACACTTTTCCGTTGTTTAGTGATCATTTTTTAAATTCTTTTTTTACATTGACTAAAATTGACACTTTTCTATTGTTTAGTGATATTTTTCGTACTTGATATTTCAATACATATTCCAAATAATTTTTTCCTAACCACCATCCAAATAACTTTTTGCTAAAGATACCAACCAAACAACTTTTTCATCTCCCATTTTGTTTTCTATTTAAAACACTTTCTACATTCAAGTCGAAAATAAAAATGAAACTGAAGTCTAAACAAGCACTTAGCTATTTCATTCAAAGACAGCTATGCCAAATGCTTCACCTTCAACATGAATGACCCCTTCTCAAAGTCTTTGTTCACAAAATGGTCTCCAAAAATCACCATGACTATAAGAGGGGTTGAAAGAATAAAACCTGAAACCAGTGATACTGCAAGAAGCAACATCAAGTGCAATTTGGAAAACCAAGCTACCTAGAGTTTTGGGGAAAACATTGGTTATGATCATCATCACCTTCAAAACGTATAATTCGAGTCTATTTTAGTCAAGGTTGTTATAAATAAATATATATATATATATATATATATGTATATATATATATATATCTTTCACTTCAATATGAAAAGATACTTTTTCAGAATCTAAATTCGAATCTTGTAACTCAAATTATGAATTTCAAAATTTCCTTGCTCAATCAGCAACACATGCTCTTGTCCATGCAACTTTCCTCGATAAATACCAAAAAATATTATGCTAGTTTTATCTATATAATATGGATTTAAACAGCAGAATCACCAACAAACTTACTATTCTGTACATAATATTCCTAATTCTAATTGAACCTGTTAAATGAAAACAAGTTAAAAGCTAAAAGTAACATACATGTCCTTTTTGCTAAATTGACATTTGACTTCTCAGTACCATTGAAGAAATCAGCAAGTCACCTATCCAAATCTCTATACCATATGGTAATGCATCTAAAGATACCTATAAAAGCTTGTAGAACTGCTTCAACTTCATAGACTTATCAACAAAGGATAAAAGTACAATAGTAAGATAAACAGACAAGGTTCAGTCTAAAGTAATTGATAAGAAGTTGGAAATTCAATTGAATCGAATATTGCATAAATTAGATCATCAAGAATACAACATTTCATGTAGCAATGATCTCATACATCCTGATCAACAATAGATATTTCAGCTATCGAAAACTGCTGTTTTATTTGCCTTAACCCATTACTCCATAGTCAGAACGGACTAAAACTAATATCAGCTTGTTTGCTATATATTATTAAGAAGTTTACAGAAGAATGATTCAATGGTTTAATAACACCAAATAACAAATTATAAGATAGAATATGCTAACACATTCCCATGACCATAAAAGGTTTATTGTACTCTATGACTCCAGTGGTTGGTTCTAGATCAATGGAAGAACATGCCAGATCAGTTTGTCATCTATTGAACACTACGAGGTATTCAAGTAATAATAAAAAAAATCCAACCATATCAGGGCCAGCCCACGGAAAAAAATTCATGAAACAAATCAGTGCATTCAAATCATTCATGAAACAAAAAATTCTAAAATTAAAGGCCAACACAGGAAACCCCCCAAAACATAGTCCTAAACAACTCAAAATCATGCAAGTAGTTACTGCACGCATTACCAATCGTAAGATTTAGAGAGAAATAAATCAAAAACAACAACACAACCGAACAGATCCATGGGAATTAAACACCCTACGACTCAATTCACTCAAAATTGAATAATAAGAGCAAAAGAGTAGGAAAGCATACCCTTTTCACTGCAAGCATAAACCTTCAAAGAGACACATGAACAATTGGAAAATAGGAATTGAGAAGGATTGATTGCATCCAAACCAGTAAATCCGAGCAACACCTTGATCAATTGCAGTGTCCTTGCATGTCTAATGATTACAAACATCTGCCTCCCCGTCCTTAAGAATCGGCAACGCTATCGTCGGAGATGGCATTACAAGTTTATCCATTATCCTCGAATTTACAACCACGGGGTTCATCATAGTTGAATGATTCAATGGCCAGTTCAATTTCTCATCAGGAATGCCAACCACACATGTTCTTTCTTTGGTTAGAAAAAAAAATTATTACAAATTTATGACAACTCAAATAATTATATTGTATTAATCGTTTGTATTTTGATACAAAGTTGTAATATATATATATATATATAATACAAGAGAACCCTATTCTAGAAGGTTCTAGAGTATACATTGACACACTCCCTCAAACTGAAGACGGTACTGGTAGCAGGCGAAGTTTGTCAAAGAAATGCTGAAATAAAAGATTCGCCAAAGGCTTAGTCATAATATCTGCAAGCTGGTCAATGGAAGAAAGAGAGTGCACAGAGACAAAAGCTATTTTTGATATGCTGGCGAACGAAGTGAAAGTCAACCTCAACATGACGAGTGCGAGCTCGAAACACTGGGTGTGAAGCAAGAAAGACAGCACCATGATTATCACACCGAATAGAGGGTGGCAGACGAAGCTACACACCAAGCTCAGAAAGAAGCTGACACAACCAGTGAAGCTCCACACAGACATTAGCAATACAGCGAAACTCAGCTTCAGTAGAAGAGCGGGCAATAGTAGGTATAAGGAACCCAGAGATAGAACTGAGAAGGATGAGATGAGATAAAAAGACCACAATCCGCAGTACTTTTTAAGTACCGAAGAACACGCTTTAGGGCCTGATAGTGAACAGTAGTCGGTTGATGCATGAACTGACATAGGTGATTAACATCAAAGTAAATGTCAGGACGAGGGAGAGCAGTATACCGCAAACTGCCTCATAACCGGCGATAGAGGGATGCGTCAGCAGCAGACAACAAGGAACCATCATCCCGAGAAACCAATTGACTAGCCACCATAGGGGTGGAGCAAGGCTTGCAAGTAGCCATGTTAGCCAAACGAAGCACATCAGTGAGGCAGCGACACTAGGACAACACAATGCCATTAGAACGAGGTAGCAACACTAAAAGGACCTCAACACCCAAGAAGTAACTCAACTTGCCGAGATCTCGGATAGCAAACTCCTGACCAATAGAAGACACGACAGAGCAAACAAAGGAAGCATGGCTGCCAGCAATAATAAGATCATCAACATTAACTAAAATGAGACATACACAACCACCTTTGGAGTAGATAAACAAGGAAGGATCACACTGAGACTCGACAAACCCAAGAGTGGAGAGGAAATCACTTAGACGTGCAAACAAAGCACGAGGAGACTACTTAAGACCATACTTTCAGATAGTTAGATAACTTGCAGACATAGTGAGGGCGATGAGGATCCACAAAACCCTGTGGCTGAATGATACGAATCTTGAGGCAAAGGTGACAGATTTACCTCGACGCGGAAGCTATGAATTTCCCAGGACTTGAAAACTTGCAAATCCAATACTATGGATTCGACCTCACGAAAATTAAAAGAAAAGAAGAGATGCAAACCACAAAAATTTGCACCAAAAAGGGATGGAAAAGTTTAGAAGATGTAGAAAGTGTTTAAAGTTAGCAACCCAATCG